GGGTCGAGGGTACCGTGCCCACGCGGGGCTGGCCTCTGGGAAGTGAGCAGGGAGTTGGCCCCCCCAAGGACCAGGAGCAGGGTCTGGGGACACCTCGAGCCTCATCCCTGTCCCTAGGACGCCCCTTACCGCCTGCCCGGCCGCCTCGCTCCATCACCACCCCTGCCATCTGTTGTTTCTCATCCTTCCTCGCTTTGAGGCCTCTCCCAGGACCTCACTGGCACCGCAGTGCCCAGTGCTCTACCCTGGACCAGATCCACAAACGTCGGATGGAGAGAGAAGGAAAAACGACTTGCAAACATCCAGTCCATTTTACAGATGAGGAAACGGAAACTCAGAAGAAAAGACTTGTCTAAGTGCTTGCTTTGAAGAAAACGACCTTACCGTGTCCTTTGTACACAGAGAGTAAGGGCGTAGAGTGTTCCCTTGTAACCTAAGTTAACCGCTGTCCTCTCCTAGGGAAGTATTTTCAACCTGGGTCGATTTTGTCCCCCGGGACATTTGATAATGTCTAGAGATTTTTGATTTTCACAGCTGTGTGTGTGTGTATGTGAGGGTGCTGGCATCTAGTGGGAAGACACCCTGGTTGCTGACAGACTTCCTCCAATGACAGGCCAGCCATACACCAAAGAACTGTCAAACTCCAAAACGCCAACGGTGTACATATTTGGAGGAACCCTGTTCTGGGCCTTGCCACCTGCCTAACTGAACTCCTAAGCGGGTGACAGAAGTCCTGAGCAGCTTGGGACATGAGCAGCTCATGTCCTCATGAGGAGGACACTGTGAAGTCTCCTGTAGGGTCATGGTTCCTCCCCACTTGCCGTGTTTAGGCTTGCTTAGGACTGGTCAGTTCTACTCTTGGGTTCCAGTGTTCTTAATTTCACTCATTCCCAGAGAGGACAGTATTATCACTATGTACTGGAGGCTGGTAAATCAAGCAGGCTCCTTGCTAAGGACATGAATTAAAATGTGCATGGGGACTGGGAAATAAGAGAAACTGTTGGGATTAAAGGACCTTCTGGTAACAGCCAGCTCTTTCTTCTACCCTCCCCTTATCCTATCTCTTCCTTTCTCACCTAGTCTGTGAGAAGGGTAAACTGAGGCCTGGCAATGCAGAGAGCCTTAAACTGGGTCACATCACTGGTCAGAGGTGAAGCTGGGACTCACGATTTTACTTACTTATTAATTGAAATGCTATCATCTAATCTACACCAGGCCTTGGCCTAGAAATAGGGCCTCTGTGGTGAACAATTGCTCTGGAGCTGTGGTGTGCGTGTAGGGGTAGATTAGGGGAGGCAAGGTTGGGGGGCCCAGGAGATATCAGGGACAATGGGGGAGCAAAGAATAAGGAGAGAAGAGAGGATCCATCATCCTCTATGCCCTTGCCTTGCCTCTGTCCAGAGATAGGGAAACCAGGTGCTCCCTTTGCACATCTGATGAAAACCTTGGACCACCTCCCCAGAGATAAGTGCAAATGTACATTTTGCATACAATATCAAGTACTACAAAGTTCCATATTGGCTTCCAGAAGGATGAGGTTGGTTCTTTAGTGCGTATGGAAGAACAAATATGAACAAATATGAATTTAAAAAACCTCAGAAGAAAGTAATGAGAAAAGGTTTGCCCTGTAATCCCAGCAATCTGGGATGCCAAGGCAGGAGGATCACAAGTTTGAGTTCAGCCTGGGGAATTTAGGAATTTAGCAAGAACCTGTCTCAAAATAAAAAGTAAAAAAAGGCTGAGGATGTAGCAGAGTGTGAAGGTCTTGGATCCAATCCACAGTATGGCACACAAAGAAAGTAATTTGCCTTACCTGATATAACAACATGCTATCAAGTCAATATAGTTAAAGCGGTATGGTGTTGAAGCAGAACTAGATAGATTAGTGAAACAAACAGCATAGAAATGGCCAAGGCTGGAGATGTGGCTTAGTGGCAGAATACTTGCCTAGTATGCACAAGGCCCTGGGTTCGATCCAGAGACAGAAAGAGAAATAGAGACTACCCATGACTGAAGTTCACAACAGCCTACTGTATACCTTATGAATTACTAGAAGATGCTGGAGACATAGCTCAGTGGCACAAGTGCCTGCCTGACAAGTCCAAGGTCCTGAGTTCGATTTCCAGTACCAAAAAAAAAAAAAAAGAATTACTAAAAGAGAAGAACTTGAAGGCCCCAAACACAAAGTAGTGGTAAGGACGCAGAAACATTAATTGCTGTGATTTGGTCAGTACGTATCTTACATGTACTGAAATAACATACTGTACTAAATAAGTACAGTCATTATATACTAATCAAAAAAGGTTTTTTGAGAAGAGCCAGTCATGGTGGAACACTTCTGTAATCCTACCACTTGGGGAGGCTGATGCAGGAGGATTGCTATTTGAAGCTCAGCCTGGGCAACTTAGCAAGACCCTGTCTAAAAAAAAAAAAAAAAAAAGTGCTAGGGATGTAGCTCAGTGTCAAGGCCCTGGGTTCAATCCCCAACAGAAGGATTTCTCTTTTTTTGAGTTTGAAAAGGAAATGTTGGGCTGGCAAGAGAGCTCAGCCGTTCAGCACCTGCCTGGCAAACCCAAGGTCTTGAGTTCAATTCCTAGTACCAAAAAAAAAAAAAAAAGGAAATGTTAACTACCCTAATTTGATCATTACATGTTTTTGTTTTGGTTTGGTTTGGTTTTGGTCTTTTTGAGACAGGGTCTCGCTATGCAGTTCAGGCTGGTCTTGAACTTAGTTTGTAGCCCAGGCTGGCCTCGAACTTGCAATGATTCCTCCTGCCTCAGCCTCCCAGGTGCTGGGGTTACAGGCATGTGCCACCATGCCTGGCCGATCATTACATGTTATACATGTATCAAATTATGATATTGAGCCTCATTAATTTGTTAAAATGAAAAAATAAAATAAATGGAGCCAGCAACACATGGGAATTTATTATATGATGAAGATTGGACTTCAGACAAATGGGCAAAAGGCAGGCCTTTCAATAACCAGCAGGTCATTTGGGGACACACATGAAAGCTGTGTTCTCATCCACAGCTAAATAAATTTCAGGTGAAGCAACATTTTTTTATTATTGTTACATGTTTGTGATATATAATAATTACATTCATTAGGGGAATTGGTACATATATAGCATATCTTGATCCCCCTCCCCCCTCGAGCAACATTTAAATAATAACACCGTAATAAACCAAAGGAAAGCATGAATGAATGGTTTGATAATCCCAGAGATGAACACTTGAAACAGGGTCTCACTATGTAATTCAGCCTGGCCTTGAACTTACTATGTAGCCCAGGATGCCCTCAAACTCATGGCACTCCTCCTGCCTTAGCCTCCTGAGTGCTGGGATTACTGGCGTGCACGAGCACGCCCAGCTACTTTATTTTTTTTTAAAATAGGGTCTTGCCATGTAGTCCAGCCTTGGCCTCAAACTCGTGATCCTCCTCCTCGGCCTTCTGAGTGCTGAGATTGTGGGTGTGCACCACCACCTCAGGCTTGGAAAAGGCTTTCTAAGCACGATGAAGCCATAAGTTTGAGTATAAAAACTTCCACACAGAAGAAATGACCATAATCCAGTGTAAAAGACAAATCACAGACTGAGGGTATAAATTACTCCGCCGGCTGTAGCCCGCCAGCCGCTCCCCCAAAGCGAAAGGGGACTGAGCACAGCACGGTGGCTCCTCCCGCGGCGCCGCGGCCAAGGCCCACCTGTTCAAGAACCGGGAAGCCCCAGAAACCGCAGCCCTACCATCTGGGTCCTCAGCAGGAGCCTTAGCCTCACGGAGCCAGCCCCCACCCCCGAGGCTGCTCACCACTTCCCTCGGGTGGCCATCCTCGGAACTACAAGCCAGAGTTCCTGTTCATGCCTCTTGCCTGACTTGAAGGTGATAGGTTTTTCTTAAAATAAGTAAACATACACATACGCACGCACGCAACATGCAAATATATTGACCTAACACTTAAAGTTTCCACCAGTACCAACGTAGGAATCCAAATCACAGTCCCAGAAGATAGATAGATATGGAAAGAGAGAGAGAGATTTATATTTTACACACGCACGTATAAAATATAGTAACATCATCTCCAATCTCCAACTGACAGGGAAACTGAGGCTTGAGAGGAGAAGTAACTTGCCCATTCTCTAAATGGTGTTACCAGGACTTGATGTTCCTTTCCTAGGTCTGTGTCTTGATATGACAGTCACATACCCACGGAAATTCAACCAAAAAATGCTTTTTTGGGAGTTTGCCTTGCTCTGGGCCTTCTACCAGGTGCCAGGGATTAAGAACTGAGATAACCTGAGGGAGGCAGGCAGAAAAACGTTCTCCAATCCTGGAGACCCCAGGAAGGGGCGGAGTCAGCAGGGTCCTAGGGGAGATGGACCTGAAGGGACCCTTGTGGCTTCAAGGGAGGAGTGAGAGAGGAGAGTTGGGCTGGGGAAGGACAGAGGTCGCTGTGCCCAGGGTGGAAGGGCAGGTTGGAGACGAGGCTGGAAGAAGCACACCGGACCAAGCTGAGTCCAGTACAAAGATTTCTGAAGCTATTTCCACGTCTCTGTTGTCCCAATCCAACGACCACCTTCTCTGCCAAACCACGCTGCCTCTTTCCTTGCAGGTGCTCCCAACCCTGCCACTGTGCGTTGGATC